AAAAACATTTCTTCAGAATTTTGTCAGAGGCTCCGAGGACATACTGACGCCTTCCGATGGACACACAATTCCGGGTAAATTCCGACGAAGACTTTTATAGGACGTAGTCGTTGGTATTCCATAGGACAATTCCTATGGACACTTTATCTGAGGTTTACCGACGGAGCTCGTTAATCAGAAAATACCGAGGGAAATACCAAGGGACGCCGTCCTCGGAATATTCCGAGGAAGCATAGCCGTCGAAATATTCCGACGAATGTATTCCTTGGAATATTCCGAGGAAATACAGTCCTCGGAATATTCTGACATCTACCTTCTACGTCGAAATATTCCGAGGACACGTGTTCCTCGGAATTTTCGGAGGAATGTCTTTGTCGAAATATTTCGACGGCTATGCTTCCTCGGAATATTTTGATTTTTTTAAATTATAAAATAATTATTTGTATTGTGAATTTAATTTTAAAATATAAAATTAAATCTGAAATAGAAAAGATATTATAATATTTAAAGTTTTACATATTAAACATTCAGTGTTTCAAAAAAAAACATAAACTAGAACTCGTGCGGAAACAACCGTCGCATCATGTCCAGCATGTGCTGGTTCATCTTCTTCGTTTCCCCCACTTTAGCTTTCTGATCGGCCATCTGAGCAAGAATGGTGGCGTTCTAGGTCTCCAATGCTACTATGAGGTCATCCTTGTTCTGCAGTTGCTCCATAAGTGCCAGATCAACAAAAGCCGGTTCTGAAGTAGAAGGAATTGACTTGGAGCGACAAGCCAACCCGAACAAACGGCCTTTCTTCCTTGGAACCGCCTGAAAAAAAAAGAGAAAACATAAAAATTTAAATATTGAAAAAATGCTTGATCAAAATTTTTTTTTTTAAAAAATGATGAAATGAAAAAATAGTAAAAATTAAAATGAAGATCTTACCGACTCAACGAGTTGTTGATTCGAACTCGAGACATGTTGGTGGAAGCAACAATAGTGGCATCGTCGTTAGAGAGGAGTTGAGATAGGCGAATCTCTTCATCCTTCTGGGGTTCGACCAAGTTGATCACATCCTTCACAACGCCATCCGATATCTCTCCGGTCTTCTTGTTGGTATACGCCTTCTTGATTAGCTCAAATTCATCAACCGGCTCACCATCATTTTCTTCCTCCTAAACAAAAGCATTTGTTAATATAAAGTATAAAAAATGAAATAAAAGCAAAAAAAAATTGAAATAAATAAGCAAAAAAATCAACTTACTAGTCGATTCCCCAGAGTGGGCATACTACAAGCACCCAAGTTGTGCTTGTAAACGCCCTTTCCTCCACGAATGCTCATGCGGTTGCCGGAGTTGGTCACCGAGAGCTCTTGCGTCTCCACCTTCTCCCAATGTTTGCAACTCGAGCCACACTGCCTTGTTAATCGATTTCGGTGTTTTTCTCTTGTGCCACTTTTGTTTCTACTCATAGATTTGCTTCCCATAATTTTCCATGACTTTATGATTGAATTCATTAAGGATATAGGCCGTCTGGTGGGGATTTCAGTTGAATTCTTGCTGAAATAAAAACATAAAACACAATTAATAGAAATTTTAAGTCAAAGATTAATAATATAAGTTAAAAATTAAAAATAAATACCGCAAACTCACGGAACCACATCTCCTGATCCTCGGGAGGGAAAGCAGTCTAGGTAGGATATCCCTTTTTGACGGTCGAGTACATCATCGGGTTGATGAAGCTGCTGATCCCGTTCCCCAATCGGTTGAACCTAATAAAAAAATCCGTAATCAAGACAAAATATAATGGAAGAAAAAGATAAATAAAGAGAATTTTAACCATGTTTGGTGTTGCCCCTTGGATACGGAGTGAGAACAAGAAGATGCTCTCGACCAGGCTGTTGAACCAATTGTTCAACAGTCATGATACCCGGAACGACTGGAGGAGTAGAAGCAGAAGGGGAGCGAGAGGAAAAACATCAAGATTTTGATTTTGGGAGAATGCAGAACCACGAGTGGTGTCTGTTGAACCAACCCGACCTCGTGGTGTGGAACGGCGAAGCCTGAGCTGGTTATCGCCACCAAACTTTTAAGTAAAAAAATTATTATAAAGTAATAATAAAGTATAAAAAAATAAATATAAAAATATTTTTATAAATATATAAATAGTTTTAGAAATCCAAAAATAGTTTTAATAAATATAAAAATCTTTCTGTAAATATAGAAAAGTTTTATAAATCCAAATTTTTTAATAAATATAAAAATATTTTTAGAAATATAAAAGTAGTTTTATATTTCCAAAAACAGTTTTTATAAACAAAAATCTTTTTCTAAATATAAAAAACTTTTTTATAAATATAAATAGTTTTTAAATATAGAAATCATCTTTTATAAATCCAAAAACTGATTTTGTGTACAAAAGACATTTTAATAAATATAAAATCGATTTTATAAATACAAAATTAATAAAAAAAATTTAAAATTTCGAAATCAATTCAATCCAAAAAATTATCACATCTAAATCACAATTTTAACCAAAAACCACAATCAAACCTATTACACAACAATCTACCAATCACCCTAACAAAATTCTATCAAAACACTTCCAAAATCATCAAATCTATTTCAAAACGTAACTAAAAGCACCTAAGAGAGTGGGATAGGGTTCTTACATTTTTTATGATCAAATTTGTGGAGGAAAAGGGAGGTTTCTCCAGAGATTATCGAGAGAGAAGAGAGAGAGCTTCAGAGATGTTTTAGAGAGAGAAAGGAGAAATGGGGAAGAAGAAACAGTTGGTTAGATATATCAAAACAATCGGAATCCCCTCGGAATGCTTATTAATTGGTCTAACAATGATTTTCTAGAAAAGAATATACTATGTTCCTCAGATTTTCCTCGGTATTCTGAGGAACATAGTATATTCTCTGCATATCTTTCTATTGGACCAATATAATCCTCAGAATCTCGTCGGAATTTTCGAGGAGAGCTTGTTTGTGGTTTCAAAATATCAATTTTTTAGACCCTATATACGTTCTTAAACAATTATAAACTTGTTCAATACATGTCATTCATGATTCTTTCTATAGATGTGCATAAAAAATGAAATTAGAAAATTTCAAAATCCATTACAGGTATTGACGTTCCCGTTTGTTAAAGTGTATAAGATTTTCTCTTATGGTGTTACGTAACACAGAGTTTTTGGTTCAAAAAGCCTTTTCCGTAAGAATTTCCTCAGAATATTCCGAGGAAAGTCCGAGGAATGTGAACATTTCCTCGAAATTCCCTCGGACTATTCTGAGAAATATCTGAGGAATATAACCCCTAAATTCTAAACCCCAAATACAATTTTTTTACAACAAATTTCCGATGTCAGTTTTCTATACTAAAAAAATAGAATCTATACTACTCTGATTTGAAATCATCACCAGATGAATCTGAATCTGAATCTTGGTGAAACTCTCCAATGAGAGGTTCATCCTCTTTGTGAACAACGGCTTCATCTCCAAAGTCAGTTAAATCGACTACAAGCTCAACATTTGCAAAATCTTCTGAGGCACTTAAGTTGCCAGATGTGCTTGGTTGTAGTGGGCCTTGATCAGAACTTCCGTGAACTCGACTTCCCGGGTAGAGTGATGTAACAGTGACCCAGGGATCATCTCTGTTCCTAACCCGAGGATACTTGGTATAGCAAACCTGTAACACATAAAAAATTTACAGATGAATGAATCATTTTGATTAAATTGACAGATATATATTTACCTGATCAGCTTGAGAAGCAAGAATGAAATGATCATAATATTGCAGATTTCTTCGCGAATGTACTAATGTAACACCAAATGCATCTGTTCTCACACCTCGATCTGCAGTGTTGTCGTACCAATCACAATAGAAAACAATACACCGCAATCCAAACATGCCCGGATACTTGATTTCCAAAATTTCTCGTATGTTTCTATAGTACACATCATCTCCTGATGCAGACGATACACCAGCATCATAAGTTGTACTTGAACGTCTCCTCTTTTAAGTTGTGAATGCATATCCTCGAGTACAAAATCTCAGATATGACTTCACAACATGTTGTGGTCCACACACCATCTCATGTATCCAATCGTCAAATGTTTCACCTCCGGCCATACCGACAAACACCTATAAAGAAGTGGATTATAAAGAAGTGAATTGGCTTGTCAAGTCTAAGGATTTGCAAAGACATATATCGGAGCTGGAATAAGGGTTTCAAGTTTGAATCGATGATAAAATCACTGAGGATATTTGATTTTTGGGTAATGGAAAGGATTTTGGATAACATATATGCAAGTTGAGATTTTGGAAAGGTTTGGTTGAGATTTTCGTAGAGAATCTTGGTGTATCTATTGTCGATTCGTAAATGAAAGAAAAATGAGCTAGGGTTGAGTTTCTACCAGGTATCAGTGGTGATCAATCGGTTGTCGGGTTTTTATCCGATCCGACCCGACATCCATTATAACTCAAAACATGAACCGTATGGTTTATTAAGAAAATACAAAACCGATTTAAACTGATTTTATTGGATCGGATATCAATCGATTGTTCAGTTCTCGGATATGTTGTCTAGGCCTAGTTGGAACCCTAAATATTTTAGTAAGATATTAATATATTTTTTTTTGTTTTAGTATTCGGCACTGATAAAACAAGTATCAATTACGAAACGGGTTGAGGATATATAATCCTGGTTGGATCCAATCTGAACCACATTTCGGGGAGTTCAAGATGAAGTAAAGTTGAATTTGTTTTTAGTAAAATTACAAAAAAAAAAAATGGTGTGGGAATTGTGCATTCCATTCCACACAAAAACTAATTTTGATTGCCAAGACTGAATAATAAATATTATCATCAAAAGACACGTAAACGTACTTGGGCTCCTGACACTTAAAAAGCCCTTATATATGTTTAAAACGTCCATTTAAAAAAAAAAATGCCAGCTGCCACTACTAATGATGACATACAACAAAAATACAAAACAAAAGAAAATTCCATTCCCTTCGGTTTTTCTCATCCCTTCCTCTCCTCGACGACAAGAAAAATTAAAAGTTAAAACTATCTATCGAGACCTTTGTCGCTAAGACTCATCATCTCAAAACTCTGTAAGTTTCTTCCATCATCTCCTCTCAATCTCTGGCTTCGATTGCCTAATTCCGATTCACCGATTTGTTTTGTTGTCCCGATCTGAAATAATTCGATTCGTATAATTTTGTTCTCCGGAAATGCTTCGCGGAATCATTTCTGTGTCGATTAGGAAAATTTGATTTCTACACCTCACAATTTTAACTCTTAGCGATGGTTGATTCACGTATAGTCTGACGATGGGAAATGGGCACGACGTTGAATTTTGATTTTTAATAACATTTTTTGGGTTACCTAATCAACAAGTAGTTAGTTTCGATGACTTTAATTTTTTTTCAGGAGAATTTTTCCAACCTGAGGGAAAAGCTGAGTCAACCATATAGCAGCTGAGGCGTTGAATATTTTAAAAAGAAAGAAAAAAATGGCTTGTAGAGGTTGTTTTGAGTGCTTGCTCAAGTTACTCAACTTTCTTCTGGCTGTTGCTGGTCTCGGCATGATTGGTTATGGTATCTACTTGTTTGTTGAGTACAAAAGAGCAACGGATAACTCTCTTAACTTTAATGGCGACGACCAAACTTATGTCTCTTTGGGGAGGCCCATGCTTATGGCTGTGGCTCTCTCTTCCAATGTCTTTGACAATCTCCCCAAAGCTTGGTATCTATGTCCCTCCCTTGATCTTGTTTTTTTTTTCTTTCACTTGTTTGTTTGTATCTGACTGATCTCTGGTTCTGTTTTTATCACGTAAACTGCAGGTTCATCTACTTGTTCATTGGTATCGGCGTGGCACTCTTTGTTATTTCATGCTGTGGCTGTGTTGGTACTTGTTCAAGGAACGTCTGCTGCTTATCTTGTGTATCCTGATTTTGAATCTATCATTATTAGTGCCAAAAGTCTTAACTTTTTAATTGTGAATACTACTACTCTCTGTCTCTGCTTTACAAACCTAAAGCCTCAACCTTTTAATTCCTTAATTTGAGAATAGTACTCTCTACTTCTGATCTTGTTGATCTTGGCGGAGCTTGGAGCTGCAGCGTTTATATTCTTCGACAACAGCTGGAGAGATGTGAGTTATATTTTTGTCTGTGTGTGTTTTCCTCTTGGGCTTTGACTTTATCTGTAGACGTCAGGACTGTACACATACTTAGCTAACCATTTTTCTTATAACGGCTCTCTAGGAAATTCCTTCTGACAGGACTGGGAATTTCGATACCATCTATAATTTCCTGAGAGAAAACTGGAACATTGTAAGATGGGTAGCTCTAGGAGCCGTTGTCTTCGAGGTAAGATGAAGCAAACTTTCACAACTTTTGATATCATAAAAAAATGTTGATGAACTAAATTTGTCTGCAAACTCTCTTGAAAAAATATTATTTCCCTGTGAAGGTTCTTGTAGACTATAGCACTGGGAACATATCATTACCTCTAAAAGCTCTTAATGCTGTTTTGTTTACTCGCAGGCTTTGCTTTTCTTGCTCGCCCTTATGGTTAGGGCAGCTAATACACCAGCGGAGTATGACAGTGATGATGAGTTTATTACTCCTCCAAGGCAACAAATCAGGCAGCCATTCATCAACCGCCAACCCGCCCCTGTCACCGGGGTCCCAGTTGCTCCTACTTTGGACCAACGCCCGAGCCGCAGTGACCCCTGGAGTGCACGGATGAGGGAGAAGGTAACATGATTTAATTGTTTTAAAGGTTTTGGAACAAGAAGTGAAAAGGAAAAAGCGGTAACTAGATACTGAGATTCACTGATGGTTTTTGTTGAATCAGTATGGGCTTGACACATCTGAGTTCACATACAATCCCTCTGAGTCGCACCGGTTTCAACAAATGCCGACGCAACCAAATGAAGAAAAGGGTAGGTGCACCATCATGTGAGTTCATGCTAAAAAGTCTTCAAAAGAGAGTTCAGCCAGTTCTCTTTTCCTGTTTTCTTGTCCTCGTGTGTAACAATCAAGAGTCAGTAAAACTAGAGGGTTGTTTCTAGGTTGATGATAATGATGACTCTTAGCATCCGAGCTCTCTCTAATCAACCTAGTCACATTTTATGAAAACTTTTTCTGTTGTGTCTGTGTAGTCTTTTATAAGGTCATCCTGGTTGTTTGATTCGGTACTGTGATTCGTATTGTATATGAAACTCATCTGCTTCATGTCATCTTAATTTGAAGACGTTACTCTGAGAGTTTTCGTGAATACACGCAACTAAACATGTTAAAGAGAGTCAAGAAGTTGACATGTTTTAAAGCACTCAGTACAGTGCCAACCCATCGGTGTTCTCTGTCTTGTGTTATTTCTCACAACTGGTCTATGCCCGGGATTAACGGGCAGTAATCCTAGTGATAGTTACCTAGAGAAAATTGGTATAGAGAGTGAGTATACAAGTAGCTTATTGAAATGATGAGAGCGTGTATGAAGCAAAGTGGCTCAGCAACTGTTATCTGACACCTCAAGAACTACTCGTCTCTCTTAACCTAATCTGTAGTGTAGATACTCTTTACAGATTTAGACTTGTAGATTTCTCAAACTGTAGAAAGAATTGTCTATTCTTTCAGGTATCAGCTGCCTTTGTACCTATATACTTCTGAAACTTGTTGGAAAATGCATCTTTGGTTTACTATGTTTCAAGTTCTTTCTGTTTTCTATTAGATATATAACTCATCTGCGAGTAATCACGATCAGACATACAAAAAACTACCAATATGCTTTTACTAAATGTGATGAAGAGTTTGTGAAAGTCAATAAAAAATATGAAAAACAACAACTAGATATATAACTCTAGTTGATTCTCGGGTCGTAACGCACATTGTTGTCTTACTTGTGTAACAAGAATGTTTTTGAACGCCAATGTTTTTGCTTTATAAATTGTAAATGTACTTGTTTTAGAAACCAGAATTTGAATGTTTAAACCATATTCAGCGTGTCTCGAAATTAGAACCTAAACAAGTCACTAAACCATTACTAAAACAATTATAACATATTTCAATAGTATAATAATATTACAATTATAAAATAACTATAATATATTTTTGATGGTATAAATTCGAAATTCTAGTTATAAATATTGTGCAAAAATTAGATTTTTCATATATGAAAACAGAATATTTCCATATATTTTCTTTCCATATTTTTGAAATTGTTCATAATTATCCGTAGAATCAACATTAAATCTATAAAATCCTAGAACCAATAACCCCCACGTAGAATACATTTAACAAGTTTGAACTCAACTTCTACAAGTTTTAGATTTTCAGTAATGTGTAGATTGTATATTCTAAGTTTTTAGAATGATGGTCAAAGCGTAGAATATGTATTCCAAATATTTTTAGATTACTGTTATTTACGTAGATGATGTATTCTAATCTTAGTAGAATTAATGAAAAAGTGGATTTCATTTTCTATTTTGCAGAATTTACATTCTGCAGTTTGTAGAACAAATTCTAATTTTTTTATTTAAATAATTTTATAACCAAATGTTCCTATTTTTCTAATTTTTGGGGATTATAAAGCTATTCATTTTATTTATTTTAGTAAGTAGAAAAGGGTATTATAGACAAAAATGGTACAAATATAATATTAGTCTAAAGGGACAATGTACTTATTTTTTGGCCTAAAAAACAATTTCCCCAATAATAAAAGGTAATGCAATTATAAGAACAATAGGTTTGTGCTGCTGGTGCTACCCATAGCTTTGATATTCTCTGGATATGCAATTGCTCAAATGGAGGCATCATCATCATCATCAGTAACTAAAAAGAAGCAAGCCCCTTTAAAGAAGCACATCGTCAAATGGTCTCCTAAACTAATTCTTTCAGTATTATTTTTACTTGTGACCAATATTCCAATGGCACTATACATGAGTTTAATCCATCAGGTAAAGAATCAATTATTTGACTGCTCTCTTTGTCTCCATCGACTTGTGGTAACTAAAAGGGAATGTTGTTGTTGTTTCCAACAGAGAGGGACATAGGATGCGGTGAACTACTTATCGGAAGAAGCATAGAAAGGGAGAGTAAATAGCATTCTCTTTAAAATTCCAATGCAACTTCTCGACTGCACCTGCACGCCAAGGTTAACAAAAATCACAGTTTCTTCTTCTTTGACGACTTGATTCTTAAAAGGGTGGTTTTCATGTAAACAGTGAAGAGAAGGGAACACTTGATGAGTCAGACCGATTCATGATGAACCCTTTAGGTTTCGTATCATAGTTAGCTGGAAACTGGTCAAAGCCACCTAGCCACATTGTGATGTTTGCATCAGAAGCAACAAAAACTCAGAGATTTGTTAATCAAACATTCCTTTAGAGAGGCAAGTTAAAAGCAACAACACTACTTTGCTATTTTCAGCTGCAACATCATTTGTTTTTTTTTATGAAATAAAAGTATGTTTGTGTTTTTGTTGACAATGGAAACAGGTGAAAAAATTATTTCACGCGCATTTCAGGGTTGATCGAGATCATCAATCCTCAGTGGTCGCCTATGCTAATATAGAAGACTGACCTTAGGTCTTCGGTGTTGTTTTTTTGGTTTTTTAGCTTTGCAGCATCTAAAAAACGCCGTGATGTTTTTCCTTTTTGTAACAAGTCATAGAGTATATGTAACCATAACTGATGTCATTTTTATAAGTTTGTGTCCTTTTTTTATGGGGTCTTGGTAAACTAATGAGACACTACAAAGTCTACACATGAGCTGATCAAACTCAAATAGCATATATATACAAGTCAATAATGATTTGAAAAATGAACGCTTGGATCGTCAAAGAACAATGACCAATGTGCATTAAACCAAAAGACTCGGACCATCTTACCAAATCTTGGTATAGATAGATATATACACATAAGAAACAAAGAAAAAAAAAGACACTGATGAGAAAAGAATCTCACTCACAAAAGTAAAAAAAAATAAAATAACCAATGTTTTAATAACCGGTTTTCACTCTCTTTACCGGTCCATAATTTTCCAATTTGGTAGAATCATGCCCAGAGAATACCATGTAAATGTAGGCTCCGTACCGAACGGTTTGAGAAAAGAAAATTCAAAATGCAGTAGAGAAGAAGCATCATAACTGTGATGAAGAAAATAAACCTGCAATAACCAAACCCTCCCAAGCAGGCACTACCACAACATTGGTGACACGAAGCACGGATTGTGCGCTAAGAGCCAACGGTTTTGACTGGCAGAACATTTCCCAAGTAATTTTATCTACCTCTTGGACTGGCGATGATGATGTCTCGTGTTTGATGATAGGATGAGCTTTTTCATAAACAGTCTGAAGTTCTAATGGTTGTAACTAAATATTAGCAGAGTACTAAACAAGGCTCTTAACCGGAGAACTCAACCATTTGAATTCCACGTCCAGCCACAGCGATTTGGTATGTGTTTCTGCACAGATAGATTCAATATAAGCTTATTTTGGTATGTGAGCTACATGACTACAGATTATGAGGTAAAGGGCTCTTTTTGTGATAGATTATAAGAGTAACTAATGCATTTTTACTTACTCATCAATGGCTTTAGCATCGAGAGCCTCTGGTTGGGGTACACTGATGACTATATGAGCATGCTCGACCAGTTTACCATCTTTGTCTAGATACCAACTCCTCACACGTCAATGAAGACCTGTTGAGAATATCCACTTCATATCCATCCACACCCCTTCATCATATCAAAATCAATATTCGTTAGGGATAAGTTTTTTTTCTGTAACAGTTTTACAGAGGCGTAGTACCTTTTATGGCAGAGCTATGAGCTGATGCAACACCTCCACCGTCTGTGAGCCTGATACTGTAACTTGGGGTCTGTCTTACAACCATAGTTTCATATTTGTTGACTGGACTACTACTGCTACGGATGTTGAAGCTAATCACATTGAACATCAAACCATTTCCATGATTTGGAGAGCTGCTCGAGCGGTAAACATGAAGACAGTTGACGCCAGATTGATGAGCATTCTTAACGACATGTAAAGGATTTATCTCGCTTGTATCAGGAAGAGAATCTTCACTTTCGTTTCTGTCATCGTTTTCTTGAGGAAAACCATTTGTGAGTTCCAAAGACGTGGCTGAATCTTCTTTTGCAGGTCCACTAACCAAGTTACTGCTACTGTCTTGTGTTCTCTTCGCACCTAGTGTAGATCCTAAAATCCACACTCGGTAATTTATAGAGATCAAGAGTGTAATAAGGGGAAGACAAAGGATGTGGGCAACGATGCTCTTAAACACAACGATATAATCGGACTTCGGTTGACAAAAATGGAATTTTATTAAATATGGAATTCGTTTACAAAGTGATTGACAAGATCAGAAATAACAACAAAGAGTTCAAGAAAGCGAACTAGAAATCTAAAGAATGAGGTCAATGTGATTAGTGAATAGCTCTAGGGTTTTTTTGTGCCCCTTGAACGTCATTCTAGCTCGCTTTTTATAGTCCCTTTATCCTCTAACCGTCTCCGCGATCTCCGGAATCTCATCTTCGGCCTCGTAAATTCCGGCTCGACGTTTCAGTGATTACTCCAAATGGGTTTGGGCCTGGTCAGATAAGTGCCGAAATCGGGTCTAACATTTGTCCCCCAATCTTATTTTTTTAAAAGATTAAGATGGCTTGCTCGGACTAAATCGGTAAAGGGCGGTTTAGCTCCCGCGGCGCAGAGATTTGAAACGTGTTCGCTCCCTGTCGATGGACCATTGGCGTGTGTTTCTAACGGCTACTTGTGCCGTTTTTGATGGAAAAAAACCTAATCATTATCTCTTCCTTTAATGATAAAGTCGTTTCTTGGTGTCGGCGAGTTGCCTTATAAATACAAGAGTCTTTTCTTTTTTTCTCCTAACTTCTTTTCTTTCACCAGAACTTTCTTTCTTTCTATACAAAATCTTCTTGCTTGTGCGATTTTCTTTTTCTTAAGTAAAGATGGAAGTGACGTTCACTTTTCCTCTCCCGACGACTAGAACCGAAGATCTCGAAGCTTTATATTCAACTTAGGGCGTTGATCGAAGCATTAAGCTCGAGTTGGCTACTACGCTCGAGACCCCTGAGACCGTTCGAGAGGGGTTTTGCGGAGCGTATCGCACGTTCTTCGAATCTTGTTGCTTATTCTTCCCGATTCTTGCCCTAATTCTCGCAATTACAGCTGGATTGGGCATATGTCTTACTCAGATGTGCCCGGATTTTTTGAGACACCTTTTGGCTCTCGTGGTAAGAGCTTGTGA